TCTGCCCCTGTCTGAGACGCTATCGCTAGTCTGAAGTCTGTGACACTGTAGTCTGTTACGTGTTAGTCTCTAGTGCAGTGTCATGTCATGTCATCAGTCATGTCATTATTGGTAATTATAGAATTTGCCACTGTCATTGTCATGTCATGTCATGTCATGTCATGATGATGATGATGTCATGTCATGTCCTGTCAGTGTGAAATATAACTGTGACAATAATGACATGACATGACATGACATGACATGACATGACATGTCATGTCATGTCATGTCATGTCATGTCATGTCATGTCATGTCATGTCATGTCATGTCATGTCATGTCATGTCATGTCGTCATGTCATGTCATGTCATGTCATGTCATGTCATGTCATGTCATGTCATGTCATGTCATGTCATGTCATGTCATGTCATGTCATGTCATGTCATGTCATGTCATGTCATGTCAATGTCATGTCATGTCATGTCATGTCATGTCAATGTCATGTCAATGTCATGTCAATGTCAATGTCATGTCATGTCATGTCATGTCATGTCATGTCATGTCATGTCATGTCATGTCATGTCATGTCATCATGTCATGTCATGTCATGTCATGTCATGTCATGTCATGTCATGTCATGTCATGTCATGTCATGTCATGTCATGTCACAGTCATACATATTAATGTTTACAGTAGCAGTGACAGTGACATGGCATGACATGACATTGCATGATGACATGACATGCCATACATGACATGCCATGACATGACATGACGCTGACATGACATGGCATGACATGACATGACATGACATGACATGACATGACATGACATGACATGACATGGACATGACATGACATGACATGACAGCGCAATTTAATGACAATGACAATGACAGTGACATGACATGACATGACGTTACAGTGACAGTACTGTTCTGAACACGCTCCGGCGAGGAATTATGACACAGGTTCGCGAATTTTATTATGACACAGTTTTCGATGTACACGCGAGCGATTTTTGTACAGGCAAGCGATTTCTGTCATTTGTTGTCCATGTCATCCTGTTCGATTTGGTGTTCAGAACACTGTTCAAACTCCTTGCTGGAAACTCTCTACTGTAGTGTCAGTGACACGGTCGCGGTCCGGAACACCTGAATGATGAAAGATGATGCTTGATGTGCCACCGACCAACCGGACAGGACACGCCACCGCACGGACACCCTGGAGAGGAGCTCTCAGAGCACACTACAATCGACAATGTGACACTCGACTGTACAAACTCGAAACTGAAACACATACAGGAGACGAGAGGAGTTCCAAAAAGCAGACCTATCACAATAAAAACCTCCAAACTTTCGCAAAGTTGTGAAAAATGCAGGCTTTCATTGGGCGCGTTCTCTTCGCTTTTTTGTTCATCGGAAGCTTCATGAATAAGTGAGTTGCTGGATGATGCGCCTGTCGTGAGTGCCGTGTTGCTATATAAGTTTGAACTCTCTGTATCCCACTGCTCAGCTGAAGTGCCGTGTACAGGTATGAGAACTTCGGTGTTGACGGTGGGCCATCCGCAAAAATGGTAAAGCACTTCACAAATCATATCACAACTAATTTATTCGGTTCCTGCTATCTGGGCCCCAAACAGTTGCCTCTCAATACTGCGCAGCTCCTGTCACTCGGGTGCGTCAGAACTGTCGGGATAACGCATTCACTACCTTTCGTATTCAGGACGTTTTCTAAGTGGCAAAGGAGAAGAGTCAGAGGAGAAGACCTCGTTGGGATACTCTGGTTGTTTTCTGCAATATGAATATTTTCACAAGTCCCTGTGAAGCTCTGTCCTTCACAGTGAAATCGAGCGACTAGTATACGTGACTAACGTGAGGGGATAGTAGCTCTTATTTTTCTTCTTCTTAAGGTAGTTTCGTGGGTGAAACCCATTGGTTATCCAAGTTGCAATAAACGGCCGCGCCTTCTGTTGGTTTGTTACAGATGGCCCCTAAGATGGACGCCACGAAAGCAAAGCTGGAAGCAGCTATCAACGCCCAGTTTCAGCCAGTTTCCGCCTTCAAGTTTCCAGAAGTTGCGGTAAGTTTAACGCTCAAGCTTAGATGACCACTGGGTGTCGACGTTGGAAGGCGTTAAGGAGCACATCTCAATGTTTTCCACATGTTTTATGCCAGAACTGTTTTTTTCTGAAGTGCAACCTGTGGTTCTAAGAATTTCAAGTTGCAACTAGTTCACTGGGAGCGTTCTCCATTGAGTGGTCACCGCATTCGTGGTTTTTTCCAAGTTGCCGTGAAGTATTCCAACAGCAGCAGCAACACGTGCCAAGCTCATAGGCAGTGTCTCAGGTTCGCTGTGCGTCTGTGCGTTTTGGAACAGGATAAGGACTTGCTCATGGTCGCCATGGGTCTCGAAGCCGTTGGAGCTGTCTTGTACATTTTCGGTTTCAACCTCGGCGCCCGTATGCTGGTGAGCACCGCGTCATCGTCAGCTCAGTTGCCCAAGCCCGAAGCCGTGAGTTCGGTGACCTGTAGCTAAGGGATATCGCAACAGCGCCAGGGCCTCCAGGTGTTTTTTCAAGCATGCTTTCATTGCCAAAAAAACTGCTTGCTCTGGCTGAGAAAACACTTATTTTCTACGAATGCCACGGGTGACGGCCTTTTTCCTGACGGCAGCCGAGTTTAAGCGCTGCAAGCTCCAACAGGAACGAATCTCGGCGAGTCAGTGAAACCTCTTCGAGCGGAGGTTACCCGTCGCGCCGTCTTCAAAGCCGCTTTTTCTTTTCTGCTCTAGTTGTTTGGTTATGGAAAAATGTTGCATTTCGGTGCCATGGGTCGTCGCCTTACAGATGCTATTTTTGCTCGCCGTGACGCCAATAATGCACGACTTCTGGAACGAAACCGACCCCGACGCACAGACGGTCAACTTGATAATGTTTCTGAAGGTGAAGCACGATGTACCATTTGCTTGCAGAGGTTTTCCAACACACGTTTGCTTTATACTCTCTTCATACCAAGCCCTTTTCCATGCGCACGTGCACCCCCTCCCGTCCTTGAACTTACAAAGCAAAGCTGACCAAATATGGCTTAGATGCGGGTGATTTTGACAATGTTTATGTGGAGTGCTTCTGTAGAACGTGGCGCTTTTCGGACAACTCCTCACCTTCACTGCAATGAACAGTGCAAGCGCTAAGAAGCAGAAAACCGACTGAGCTCTGTGAAGTGGAGTTATTGCGAGTCCCCTCATTGTATTCTGAAAAGACTCAAGTTTTCTTGTATCCGTTCACCACGATGACCGGTTGTATTGTGAAAGGACGCACATATGTATTATTGGACGCATACTCGCAAATGTCCCCCTTTGTAATTTATGCTGCAAATGGAAACCATGCACACTACCTCTTAGCCTGGGGGACATTTTATTTCAGTCTGAAATTGAACAGGGGAACATTCTAAGCCTGTAACTGTCGACTGCTCGTGAATCCCGACGTTCAAAAGTGGGATTTTTTGCAGAGATCTGTTGTATGGCGACCAGGAACTGCAGTATTTTGTGGGGGGAAGTCGAGATGAGTCGGGGGTCTTGCAGCAGGGGGATAGAGAGATTTTGTTTTGGATAACACCTGTTGTAATGCACACTTTGTCAGTCAAACACTTAAGGTAGACTTTCAGGCCTCCTTCCCGATGTGTCTGAGCTTCAACGACAACATCCAGTGCTGTCAGAGTATCCCTGACCAGGTTATGTGGTCGTCAATGCTGCCATAAGGTACCTTACAATGCCCAATTTCTTTTTAAGATGTTATTGGTTACGGGTTGGTTTAGTGAATAAGTTTGCTTTTAGGTTGTGAAAATTGGGGAGGATGCTTGTTGGCTAGATACTTTTTTTATATGTATGCGAGAGATCATGCAAAAGAAATTCAATATTGCGAAAGTTATACAATGTTCTCTATATTGATTTTTTCCCCCTCACAACTCACAATTCCCGAAAAATCGGACCGAGTAACTCGCACGCCGATTTATTTTGTGTAATCGTTTGAACTAAGTGTCATTCTACAGCGATTTGATGGCGAACTATATTCTTGTAACTCCATGTCTATAGAGGGTTACATCTCGGTTTAGGTCAGAGCGTCGTGTTGCCTGTCATGAAATATGTGTTGCTTGCCGCGTTCCTCTTTGGGGTTGCTCCTGATCGCCGAGGCTTGATGATGTCGCATAACAAATATATACGTTATTGTTACAGGGTAGATGAGCAATATTCGAACATAGCAGTTTCTATTGGGCGACTGTTTCCTGTTTCGATCGACTAGACCATCTTGAACAGTCGAACCGCGTTTTTTTTTTTTTTTCGCAACCTCACGTCTGTGCTCGATGTCTAATCGTCCAAATTGTAATGCATCGCGCCATGTGCCGTCGATGGTAACCATGGCCAATTGTGTCAAGGCGGTTGTGCTGAGATCTGTGTATCAGGCAGCCCTGACAGGCAGGCCCCTGGCCCCTAGACGCGTAGTCCGTACAGACTGTAGCGACTTAGCGGTGGTAGTAGGAGTAGCAGTACAGTACTGTGTATGACCGAGCGAGCGAGCGGGTTTAGGTTTTAAGTTATCTCTCGTTAACCATTATAAGACATTTACACTCTGAACTGTGAACAGACACTGCACTTTCTGGCTCACCAGGATATACTGTTTGAGTATATCCCTCTAGGTCGTGGACCCATTCCACGTATTATTCGTTCACTGCTTTGGCCATGTTAGGCTAAAGACGCCGTTTGAGTAGGTGGTGCGCCACGCGTTGGGCGCCCCACTAGGGGACGAGATGTACTTTTGAGGACGCCGCTGCATTTACGGAACCACGTGTAGGTGACGCGATTGGCATTGCTCGACGAGAGTTCACCTTGGGAACACCGGCTGAGATTAGCTACCTTTCGCCGCCTTGCTGGGCCGCATACTAGTTGACGTCGACGCCCACTTCTACGCCGTCATTGATGGGGAAACATAAACTGACGACTCGTGGTGTAGTGGGTAAAAGAAGCCGAGAGGGGGCATCGAACCGCCCATTTCTCGATTGCATGCTGAGCGCTCTTCCAGCTGAGCTATCTCGGCTTAGATGGTAGACGATGGAGGAAGTTGTCGGTTTTTGTTTGTCGGTGTGAGTGACACAGTCTGATCCCCAACATCGCGACACGTGGACAGTGAAGAGTGAATATACTGGGAACTCGTACAATTTTCCCCCAACCACACATAGTCAAGGCGCCTCTACACGATTATACACAAGCTACCCTTGCGGTTACACGTTTATCGTCCGACGGAAGGGAGGCGACCACGTGGCACAACCGCACAACCGACTGCCGGCGTCACACCTGCGCTGCGCAGTGGAAGCGGGGTAAGAGCCCATAACCTGATGGGGAAACATAAACTGGCGACTCGTGGTGTAGTGGGTAAAAGAAGCCGAGAGGGGGCATCGAACCGCCCATTTCTCGATTGCATGCTGAGCGCTCTTCCAGCTGAGCTATCTCGGCTTAGATGGTAGACGATGAAAGAAGTTGTCGGTTTTTGTTTGTCGGTGTGAGTGACACATTCTGATCCCCAACATCGTCACACGTGGACAGTGAAGAGTGAATATAATGGGAACTCGTACAATTTTCCCCCAACCGCACAGAGTCACGCAAGGCGCCTCTACGCGATTCTACACAAGCTACCCTTGCGCCGGTTACACGTTTATCGTCCGGCGGGCGGGGAATAATTGGGTTGGGAAGGGTTATACGCGCTGGAACTGGAACGTGGTTTCCGTCTCAGTCCCGGAAAAATTCTGAACCAGCGTGACGGTCATATCGTCTCGCATCGTCTCGCGTGTCATCGTGAATTTAATTTCCAGGATTATTAAAACATGTCATCTATTTATCTTCCATCGATATCGCGGATACGATTGCCGTTGGCGTTGACTCGCTCAAGGATAAAGAGCTGCGCACCTACATTCACTGCTCATAATTTTCTCAACGGTCCTTCGCTTCGCCTCATGGGCGGAACGATGTCGTGGCTGCTGTGTTATGCGTAGGGATTTCGGAAGTGTTTGACTGCTTTTATTTTTCAGTTTGTTTATGCATATGTGCCGACTCACGATACTCGTTTTGTGCAGCTTGTGTCGCAGGTTTTCCGATGGCGAGGAGGCGCGCTTTCTTGAGGTGTGGAAGTCTAGGGCAACCTAGCTTGGATCACACCCAACCACATCGGACCCACCTTGTTCTCACGTTTTATTCAACTCACTTTGAATATGCATCCAAAGTTTGAGCAGCATCGGGTTGGGATAAGGTATAGTCTGATTTTGTTTTTGGGTTTATGGCGTCTTCTTCGCGACCTCTTGGGGTGTGGAAGTCAAGGTTGGGCATGCCAACCTTGCTTGGGTTCGAACCCAACCACATCAAAGGCATCTCATTTGCATATATTCATGTATTTGTCTTCAATATTCATGCAAAGTTTTAGGATCATTGAGTTAGGATAAGCCTTAGGCAGATTTATCTTTGTGGGTTATGGCGCATTGTTTCCTCCTTGAGGTGTGGAAGTCAAAGTTGGCGTTTACCAACTTCGCTTGGAATCAAACCCAACCACGTCGGTATCGTACTATTATCTTTTATGTAACTTCAATAGTTGTCCATGTTTGCGTTTAATGACGTTAGGTCATGTCATAAGCTGATTAATAAATCTGCCTTAGAAATCAATTGCTCGTTTCGCGCACAAGTTACTTGAAGCCTTGAGCTTCGCGTAACTTGAAGGTACATACGTTGGAAGTATGTATGCCAAGTTTCGTGCTCTAGAACTTACGGGAAGCCCTCGGCTGATTGGCATCTTTGGGTTTGGGTACGTTGAACCCAAACCCAAAATGCTCTTTATCAAGAGGCGACCATTCCGTGCACACTCATTGAAAGCCTTTGCGCTTAAGAGGGTGTACTAATATTACTGTCAGCAATATCAGTGCCAAGTTTCGTGCGCTAGTACGCACGAAAAGCCCTCGGCTGCAAAGCTTTTCATGCTTTGAGTCGACCTCAAGAAGGAAACAATGCGCCATAACCCACAAAGATAAACCTGCCTAAGGCTTATCCTAACTCAATGATCCTAAAACTTTGCATGAATATTGAAGACAAATACATGAATATATGCAAATGAGATGCCTTTGATGTGGTTGGGTTCGAACCCAAGCAAGTTTGGCATGCCCAACCTTGACTTCCACACCCCAAGAGGTCGCGAAGAAGACGCCATAAACCCAAAAACAAAATCAGTCCATAGTTTATCCCAACCCGATGCTGCTCAAACTTTGGATGCATATTCAAAGTGAGTTGAATAAAACGTGAGAACAAGGTGGGTCCGATGTGGTTGGGTGTGATCCCAAGCTAGGTTGCCCTAGACTTCCACACCTCAAGAAAGCGCGCCCCTCCTCGCCATCGGAAAACCTGCGGCACAAGCTGCACAAAACGAGTATCGTGAGTCGGCACATATGCATAAACAAACTGAAAAATAAAAGCAGTCAAACACTTCCGAAATCCCTGCGCATAACACAGCAGCCACGACATCGTTCCGCCCATGAGGCGGAGCGAAGGACCGTTGAGAAAATTATGAGCAGTGAATGTAGGTGCGCAGCTCTTTATCCTTGAGCGAGTCAACGCCAACGGCAATCGTATCCGCGATATCGATGGAAGATAAATAGATGATATGTTTTAATAATCCTGGAAATTAAATTCACGATGACACGCGAGACGATGCGAGACGATATGACCGTCACGCTGGTTCAGAATTTTTTCGGGACTGAGACGGAAACCACGTTCCAGTTCCAGCGCGTATAACCCTTCCCAATTGGGTTCCTCATCAGTCATCTGGATATTTCCGTCGTTTAGGTTTCTGGCAATTGTACATCTTTGTTATTCCCGCAACGTTAGCCCAACGTTAGCCCAACGTTGCACCATCTGCTCTATTGGCATTCGAGTAAGATGACTTCAAGGACACGAAGAAGTCTGGTGAGGGAGAGCGACTTGGACGCCTCCATCAGACTCCGAGCAGGCGTACGTGATTCGCCAACGCCGGTGAGGCCTACGACACCGGCGGCCGCTGCTGCCCTAGGCACCGACACCGCAACGGTCAGGGCCACGAGAGCGGCTTACGAGCGGCTTCCAAGACGGTGGCCGAGATCTACTCCACCGGTCGACATCGAAAATGGGCGAAGGCCATGCGTGGGCACATCCTTGGCGGGGCTGATGTCTATTTTGAGGCGACCTACGCCGACCGACATCGACAAGCTGGCGAAGCTCGTGATCAACGTGAAGCAGGAGATTCAATCTGCTGGGCTGAGCATCGACGTCTTCTAGTTCGAGGACCCTACGCTTGAGGTGCACGAGGACATCGGCAGGCTCGTGTATGACACCCTCACGCGTACCTCGTGAAGCCTGCCTCCACGGCGGGTGACTGGTTGCAGGGCATTGACGCGGTGTCGGACCGGGACGGGAGGTGCCTTGATCGATTTGATAAAAGGTTGCGTTCCTCCTGCGGTTCGGCAAAAGCTTCAGGCGGAGCATTCCGCACTGCGGTATATCCCGCCCGAGACCCTACAGTCTAACACACTTCGCAATGTGTGTACGTGACGTGCACGCGACGCGTCAAGCAAACAGACTTCCAAGACGTAGTCTGTGGGTGACGCGTCAAGCAAATTCCAGGGGGTTAAGAGGTGGCTTCTCGACATTCCAAATTGTCACTTTCTTTCGATTACACGTAAAGATCAAAGTATCCATGGGCACACCTATCTAGTAGCATACTAAAATATTAATTTATGCGACCTCTGGAGCACCTTGAAACTCTGCCTTTGTGTGCGTGACGCGTCACGCGGATTACGTGACGCGTCACCAACAGTAATGCATGGTTTTCTGCAGGTGTACACACGTTTCTTTTTATGTGTGCGTGGTGTGTACGTGACGCGCGTGACGGGTCACGCACGGAGCACGCACACACATGCATGCGTGTATTAGGGTGTATCGCGAGTCAGACGAGAGACAGAGTGACGAGTGACAGCACTTATGATAGTCACCAGTATGACCGAGAGGTATGACGAGGGTGACTGACCGAATGTGACTTTTTGAACATCTGCACCCACAGCAGATCAGGTTGAGAGAATTGGTGGGAAACCAATCCAGAAATGGTGGGGAACCATTTAATATTCATACAGCCGAACAGAGCTGGAGGGAAACCAGGAGAGCCTCAGTTCTTGCCACATCATCAAATCTATGATTATTTAGGAAATCAGAGCAGCGATTATTTTATGATTGGCAGCTGCAGTCCAAGGGTTGTATGACAAGACAGGACATCGGACTGCTGAACATGAAGCGACTGAGCATATGACCATCGAATCCGAGGTGAGCTGAGGGAATTCGAGTCGACATGTTACTACTTAATGTCAGTCTTTGAATGTCAGTTGTGAATTAATTTACACATTGGCACCAACCCGTCTGGTGTCTTGTAACTCCAAACAGTAAAGTTTAATCGAAATTCCGATATTCCGATATTAGCCCTATGATCATGGCATCATATTACCTGTGAGTGTTAGCAACTTACATACCTATGAGACTGGATCAGTCCTCACACCCTGTTTAACTGGTATCAGCGTGGTCGTGGTTCACGACTTCCGTTGGTACTTCCGTTCTACAACTCTCTGGACCAACATAATTTTGGCTTGAAATTTCCGCCCTTGGGCGAAGGAATCGTGCCCTGAACAACGGCACAACTTGTTCTCGTGAGAACACCGCATATCTTCAAAATATCGACACTGTAACGACATAATTATGACGACTTCGCAGCTTGCCTCCTGTCAACAATTTTTCTTCTCTGGCGACCTTTCCGCAGGATTCTTCGCGCGACAGTAGAATTTTGACTTGAATCGATCGAAAACATTTCAGTGGGGCAGGCGCCCGTAACTCTCCGTGCCGACGGCAGCCGTACGACTGTAATTGGACGGCAACCACTGCACCGTATTTTGGTGCTTTTCTTCTTCGTACGGTGATCTTTCCGCACGATTTGTCCTTCCGCGGCGAATTCGTGTGTAAATTGACGTCTACTTGTACCTCTAG